GGTGTTGTTCTTGTATTCATCTAATTAATCTAGTTCTTGCCAGTTCTTCTTAAACTTCTTGTTGGATCTCGAGTCTGTATTTCTATGTCCGTGATAGTCGTAAATATTTTGTTTTATACATAGCTAATTAGTGTTTCCACATTACTAAATATTATACAATGGAAATAAAAATAAACTGTTGTAGACTAATGTTTTTAGTAATATTACAATCTTATATTGTAAAGAATCAAAGTTCTATCTTATATTAGTGTGTCTTTTATGGAGAAGCCTCAATCATACATATATAATTCAAACTCTTTGTATATTTTAGAAAGTCTTAAAATAAAATTAATTAAAAATAGAGACTTAAATTCATTAAAAGAATCAAATGAAGTATCTTCCCATACTTATTTGCATAGTTAAGATAGATTTCAAAATTATAATTATAGCAGTTATGAAGTAAGTATACTTGTAAAAGACAATGATATTAACTGATAACATTATTTTTTCTTAACTAACTTTAATGAGTTTTTTTAATTTTTATATATAAAAAAAGGTTTCAAATAAATTTTATACATATATATACAATACTATTTTCTAAAAAGTAAAAGATTATAAGTCTTAATATAATTATTTCGGGTTTTTTTTTTTTTTTTTTTTTTTTAGTTTTGAATTTTGGATTAGACAAACCTCAATCGCATAGTAAATGGTTAGTTTTAATGGCAGCTTCACAAACTTCATCCAACCATACAGATAACATTAGTGAGTCTCTTCCAAAAGATTATATTGCAAGCCACAGATGTTTTCTTTGAGGAAAACGACAAGAAAGAACGTTGTGGACAAAGAAACAGTGAAGGCAAAGATAGTTTATCTTCCCTCCCATGTACTCAAAGACTGTTTTGTGGGTGGATAAGTCCTCTTACTTCCACATGCACACACATAAGACAGAAAAGATAAATAAATAAAACAAATAAACATGGAAACAACTTAGAATCCTGCAGATCGGAAGGAGTAACGATGAGAGCTCTCCAGCAGTTAGGAACAATCCAACGGAACTCTCAAACATGGAGACAAGTGAATGATCTCCCCATATAGCATTCAACCCTTACCAAACACGTAACGTCTTCAGACACGGAGATTGGGATCCAAGCGCGGCCGCAAAGAACACCATTGGATTACCAGAAAATCATATCTTACCTGCAACAGCCACCACACGCACCCTCTGACAACCAAAACATACGTTACAGAAGTGGATGCAGTAGAACCAAACCAACTCTCTTAGATTCCACAGACACTGGACAAGACTGCGGTAGACAGTTTAGTGGCTGCTGACGAAATATAATTTGGAGACCATGACGCCCTCGTCCAGACATGTATGTGTGGTACATCCATATACCAGAGGAGCAGAATCAAACAACAAGTCAAATTAAGTAGCTGTTCTGTTTACAAATCGAACATCTGAATTAGCCCCAACAAGCCAATTAGCTCAAAACTCAGAAACATGCGGCAAGATCTCAGCTACGAATTTGAAGCCCGGCACTAGAACTAATGAGGAGGTTATGATGGTTGAGGCCACGCAAGACAACGTCGAAGAGCCATGTATGAGGGACCAAGAAACACATGACGAGCCACAGCATGTCACGGCTCCTGAGAAATGGAACTCTTCTGCGATACAGTAGACTCCACGTAAACTCTCAGGTGAGAAATGTAGCCTAGTCAGGGCCATGGTAGCAAGATGCAGTCAAGACGAGGCGTGGTCCGAGGAGGACTCCGAAGAAACTAAACATGTCTACATCGCGAGGAGCCACAGATACGAGCATGGTGCTTAAAAACCACAGGGAAATAGAATCGAAACGACTAAAGCAAATCAGAAACCTACCTCAAAACCAATTTGTCAGAATTGAGGGAGTTTGCATAGCGCCAAATTTAGAGGGAGCAAGGCAACGGCTCTCTATCCACAGTCTACATCGACCAGCTAGCGGCCGTGCCAAATCCACCAAGCACCGATCCTTCTTACACATGGGCCCATGAATCAGTATAGATCCAAATCACCACGTCCTTGTATATCTTTTGGTGATTACCTACTATCTCTCTATATTTGTGTTGTACGAAATTAAACATTTGTTTGAATAACGTTAGAGCCCTCAATAATCTTAAGAGGGTCCTCAAATGAAAGAGTTTTATACATTGTGTGCAAATTAGATGTGATATTTTAATGTCACTAAAGCATAGACACTGTTAGGTAGTGAAATGCAAGACTTTTCTTTATTTTGAATGGGCCTTAAGACATGTTCAAAATCCTAATGGAGTTGGTACAAAAAGGTTTTTTCATATGGAAACATTTTAAACAATTGGTTACTTATGTATAATTCTTAATTAACTATAGAATATCATAGATTGCATCAAAATACATTCTAATGGAATATATATATATATATATATATATATATGTGTGTGTGTATTTGTGAATATAGCTCACATATATATATTCACAAACACACACACACACACACACATATATATATATATATATATAGAAATGCATATCTTCTTATAACAATAGATAAAATATCTAAACATCATTTTCTTTTAAAATTAGATTTTTAAAAACATATGATTAGGTATCTTGGATTCAAGTGCCATTAGTAGTAATATTAGATATTTAATTATATTTTATTAATACAAAAAACATGTACAGTGACAAACAAAACCGAGTACAAAATCTGAAGTGCCAACTTTCAAGAGCAATTACAAAAATTTCAATGATTGCTTTATAAATCTGAAAGTTACATGGAATAATACACATAGTCTTGTACACATGTACAAAGTTGCACATCAAATTGATAACTAAACATCCTTCTACAAAGTCAAATCAACAACTATGTCTTGTACTCAGTATTGTTCAAAGAAAATCTTCAAACTTCAATATTTAGTCCAATAACCTTTTGCTTCCAAAACAGCTGAAATCCTTCTTGGCATACTTTTGTATAGTTTCTCACAATCTTTTGCATCAAAACTAGGGTAAATACTACAAACATTCTCCCACAATTCTTGAACACCTCTTGGCCTTGGAGTGACTTGGCTTAAACGCTGTTTGAGAAGGGTCCAAAAATGTTCCATTGGATTCAAATCTGGAGATTGAGCTGGCCATCGAAGGAGCTGAAATGGCTCTGAAGAGAGCCAAAACTGAACACTTTTTGCCATATGTTTAGGATCATTATCATGTTGAAAAACCACCTTAGTAGGATCTAAGTTGTAATTCTGTGTGGTACTTTGCAAGTAGGTTTCTAAAATTTTTTTGTACAAGTGTTGCTCCATTCTACCTTCAATTTGATACCAAGCACCCAGCCCAAAAGCAGTCATACAACTCCAAATCATAATTGAACCACCACCGCGTTTGACAGTTTGACTAACATGTTTAGGTCCAGGTCGTTCTCCTTCTCTCAACCAACACCAAGACCTACCATCTGAGTTAATTAGGTTAATCTTTGTCTCATCACTGAAAATAACCCGTCTCCAATCATCAACGGTCCAATTTTTGTATTTATGAGCAAAACTCAACCTTGCAAGAACATGTCTTTTGGCAAGTAGAGGCTTCTTTTGTTGCACACAAGCACCCAAACTAGCTTCTCTCAAACCACACCTCAAGGTGATGTCTGAGAAGTGTTTACTTGTTTTTTCTCGAAGTTGTTTTGCAGCTGCACTTGCTGTTTTGAGACAACTAGTAGTAACAAGGTGCACACCAAGTCGCTTCTCTTGCTCTCCTAAAACCTTTGGACGTCCTCCTCTTTGCTTTTCTATTTCACCACTAATCTCCCTCCTCAGATGAGCTACTGAAGACTGACTCATTCCAAGTGAGTCTGCAACTTTTCTTGTAGAAACACCACTCCTAAGCTGCACCAATGCTTGGTGCTTCAATGATTCACACAACCGAGGCATAGAGATACAATTGACAAATCAACTTTCACTATAGACAGTACACAACAAGAGCAACACAATAAACAAAAAATGCCCTCAAATCTTGCAACAAGGAGTGTACATTGAAATTTCGAAATTCAGTAAGAAGAAGCAACCAAAACTGAGTACGCATGTCTATGTGCTTCTACAACACTTTTCTCATAAACCCTACCTCAAATGATAATGAGATTTTTCATCCATGTAGAGGACTGAATGAATACACAATAAAAAAGTAATTATATCAATTGACTTATGTGTCAGTTGGAAGGATCAATGAACTATGAGTGTTCAAATTTTGTACTCGGTTTTGTTTGTCACTGTAGATGAAATCTTTAAAAAAAAAAACTTAGAAAATAAATAAGATTAATGATAAGGAGTTTTTACTGCATATGCACCTTTGTATGTCATGTATTAAGGTTGCTAAGTAAATATATCATAGATCCAAAAATGGAAGAAAATTATGTATCAACAACCAACATTATGATTTCTATTTTAGCCAAATGGCAATTATTTGGTGTTAGAGGATGACATAATAAAATAAAAATAAATATAATGTAAAAAAACATATTTGGAAGAAAAAAATTATATATAAATATATATATATATATATATCAACTTCAACACAAATTCTCAATTACAATAATAAATTGGCAAAGGTTCACAATATCTTAGGACGTAAAGAAGGCAATCTGCGAGGGCCCAATGGGGAGTGGAGTGGGGTGGGGGGAGTGTGGTGAGGGCGAGGGCGAGGGCGCGCTGGGTGTGGGCTCGTGGAGTCACGGAGTCGGCCACCCCGACAGAGAGCATGGCCGCGACGCCCCACCTCACCTGCCCTGCACGCGCTGCACACGCCAGTCTGCAACTCTCCTCTCGCATGCGTTCCCTTTCACGCGTCCCCCTCACCACGTGACTCCCCTACCGTTCCTTCCCTCGATCCCTCGCCCTCCATCGTTCAGATGCTCGCATCACACCCCTCCCTCCCTCACTCCCTCCCTCCCTCTCTCCCTCCTCTGTCTCTACCCATTCCACTTTTACTCCCTGCCAAAATCCCCGCTTTGGGGTAGAATATTAAGGTTGCGTGGGACCATGGGCAACCGCTGCTCTGTAGGTGGGAATCCTAGCACTCAAAGTCCCAAGAGGCTCTCCCACGCTTTAGCGAACGCCAGTGCCCTTCAGGTGCTTGTGTGTGCGAAAAGTTTGTGTGTTGCCCACTTGTGGGAGATCGTTCATAGTTGCCCATGGTGCAAGGCATCCAGCCTGTCTCCCTCTCATGCACGATGCTGCTGTCGTAGTTGTTATTTGTGCTTTGCTCGGACCATCGGATAGTGGGGAGCGTTCGAGCTGCTTTTGTCTCCCGCAGCGCAGGTCTGGAGGTGTTTCAAGAGATGAGTTGGTTTTATTTATATGCATATTTTATTCTTTGATTTACCGGCACTTACAGTGTGACATCCGTGTTTGTGCGCCTGGCATGTTGTCGGTCACAACGGTTTCTTTGCCGATTGTAGAGGTGAATTGTTTTGATGGTGGTCTGATGGCAGAGTTGCCATGGCCCCGATCTGGCCACTTTCTTAATTTTAGTCACTTTTGAGTACCTCAGATTGCTGGTGATCGCTCTGTAGGAGTAATTGGTTGGTAGTGTTGTTGTAAATACAGGGTGATTAGGAACAGACAATCTCATCAGATTACACAGGTGATTGAAGAAATTGCAGCACCTTTGTGCAGTCATATCATTTCCTGTGTCATGTACTCAATTGGTGGGTGCAACTTCGGATGATGTGCAGGTCAAAGGTTTGAGAGAAGAGTGAAATGCCATTTTAAGTCGTGAAGATGGCATCCCTCCAAGTTCCGATCGCCTTCGTAAGTGTTCACTCACTTGTTGCATCTGTAGAATCGGTACACTACAGAGCCTGCGCCATAGCCAGCAAAGTTCTTAATGTTGATCGTGCGCAGCCATTAGCGATCCAGGTCGTTTGTTGGAACACAGATTTCTTCTTCAATCGCAATTTTGGTATCCAGTGCCTGGCATAACATATCTGTGATCTCTCGCACGAATTGGTCACTGAATATATCTAATTCCTTGCAGATGCATGCAAACACCTCACGGAACTTGCAAAATTCCTGGATCAACTACCCCTCATTCATCTCATTAGACAGGTATGGAGCTGAATTCGCAGTACAGACCTCAAGAAGGCGACTATCCATTGTTCGAGCAGGTGGATGTCCGTTCGGATTCAAGAACACCATGGGGAAAGGAGCACAACGGGAATCTTCGATGGAAACGAACGTAGCTTCGACAGCAAGCCCTCCCGTAAACACACCGTACGCTCCAGCTCCATCTGCTGAAGCCCCAGACGAAGTGAACCTCGGACTCGGTACGACCTCGTTGCCCTCATTCTTCATCTGTGGATTGCAAAAGTCCAATTGGGTTCCGAATTCGCTTGATCAATGTCAACACTTGATTAGATCGTGTGCTTACGATTTGACACCTCCGCCTTTGAAATCGGTTTCCTAGGCACATTCGAATACCTGCCGTTGACAGTGCCGTTCAGGATGAGAATGGGCACAGAGCCCCTGCATATGAAGGACTGGATTGAGATTGATATTTTCTACGATGAGGAGATGGCCCTGCGGCGGGAGATTTTAGAAACCCGTAAAGAAGCTGCCATCATTACCCGCCCCGAGGCTGCCGAAGCAAACTGGGAAGCTTTGGAGTTGCTGGCCAGCTTTCTTCCGGTGCGATTTCCATCTCGATTTTTCCGGGACGCTGACTTGCTGTGCAACCTAACCACTGGAGAGAGATTCAATGTTGGGGACAAGTCACTCAACCCTTTAGAGGTTATGTCGCGTCTCATCCAGGAAGATATTTGCGTGCTGATGAAGGTGGACGGCACACTGAGGCTTGTATCGGGCGCCGTGTTATTCCCCCAACGATGGCAGCTGCTGGAGAAAATGGGGATGGACATCGCATCCATTCACATGCCAGTGCCTTTGTTTGCAGACGAAATCGGATCAGCCGTGAACCAGTTCTTTACCCGCTTGAAAGTGGGAAAACCTGTGTGGCGTGCCAATTGGGCCATTGTCGACGACCCCACTCTTTTCCAACCTCTGAATGAAGAGGACATCTACGCTGCCATGCAAGGACAAGTGAAGAGCAACTTCGACGTCACAGCGAACAGTGACAATGTGGGTTCTCGTCTCTTCACACGGTGCGAGCGGGAGACGCTGATGAAGCTCCCAAAATCGGGAGCCGTTCTTTTCACCATTCGGACCTACGTCAGACCATTGACTGTCTTCCAAAATCGGCCCAGACTGGCACAGCAGATGGTGCGAGCTTTAGAGACTCTGCCAGAGTCTATCACCAGGTACAAGACCATGGCAGGCTTTTATGACATTGCTCTCAATTATCTTCGGGAATGCGCTAGCCGTCCCACGGAATCATGAACTGAATTGCTCTCGATCGCCATCTCCGTGTTGGTGATACTGGTGGTTCATTCACTGTTGATGCTCTGCGGATCCCCTTTACACAAACAAACTGTAAAGACACAAGTTGTGCTGGAGCGATCGGAGGGGATCTTCTTCCACTTTTGGTTAAATCTCCCGATGTCTTTGTTATACCAGTTTAAAAGCTCGAAACGTAGAGAAATTCAACATAGTATTCAAAAATCCATCGTTCTTACGTGTGCCTGTAGCAGGTCAGGTCGTAGCTATTGTATAATGAGCAATTTCTGGAGGTTAAGAACGGCGAAGGATGAATAGTTCGTGTGTAAATGTGAAGACTTCCCAGACCCTATCAATTCGACGACATCAATCACTGTTGAGGTTCAATTGTTAATGTGCAAGTGTACAAGCCAGAATTAGACACACGAGTAAGCAACAATCTGCGTAGAAACGTAGTTGAAGGCGTGTGTAGCGGATGCTTGCTTCAGCAGCAGCAGCATCGTAGTGTGACCAATTTCTCAGGCTGCTCCTGCAGTCAATGTTGAATAAACAATGCCAACATACGGCCTCCTTGCCAATACCTGTATTCCTTGAACTATGTCGTATGATTCACTAATGCTTGTTGTTATGCAGAAAAATTTTGTGTATTTCATGATGTGACATATCGCTGCGTATAATCCAATGGCAACTTGGTCACCCATCTCTATTCATGCAAGTGAAAGTATGTAAAACAATGGCACATTCTCGTGTCTTTTTAGTTTCTGTGTCTATCCAACAGGCTTTGTAATATCCTACTGCTCAGGTTTCACTCATCGTGTTGCAGAACAGTGTTGTGCAACATATTTGCGAGACATTCCCACAATTTGAAACTGTGGTTTTAGAGAATTCAATCATTCCTGTGTTGGGTGCAAACTCTTGCTCCTAAAGCCATTGTTAAAGTCCCACTAGTGACAGCTTTGGTATTCTCTGCGTGATGGGCATGCCTTGCAAATATTTTGGTTGGTTTCTTTCTTCACGTCGTTGTACAACTATTTCAAGTCTGCATGGGAAATTGGATTTCATGTCTCATTACATGGCCTACCCAGAATAATTCTGCGAAATCAATCTTTTAACAAAGTTTTGCATTACACATTTTTAACAAGATGAGTTTTTACTGTGTATCTTACACTTGGGTTATTGTATGCTTTAAATGAAAAACCCCACAATATCAACAAAGGAGTTTATATCTGAAAACATTTCAAGTCTTACAAATTGACAGTGTACACATTTTTATTCTTTTTTCCATGAAATTTGCTTTAAATTGGGGTGTTAAATCATATAACAGGTTCGTAGAGAGAACTTGCACAGATTTCATTTTACAGTACTCTCCCACATGATGTAATCTCCTATATCATGTACATCTAGTAGGTACAGATGAATTATTATTATTATTATTATTCTGTTCATAAATATTTTGTTTCTTTCATATAATAAATTAAAAGGTTTTTAAATTTTTAATCATTTTTATTATGGATATTAATTAGAGCATATATGAATGTATAGATTATGAAAATATTATAACACCATATTTACAAAGAGTCACGGCCTTTATTTATTAAGTTTTTTTTAATGATAAATTGTAAAATTTTAAAATAATGTAATTTTTCTTGTGAAATAATTACAATTTTATTTCAATGAAATATGTGTCCATTATCAGATACTTGAAATTATTAACTGAAACATTCCTTAAAATAAAAAAATTTGCATCTACTTTTATTATTAAAAATATGTGTATATAATATACTATTTATAATTATTGCATGATTTTTGTAATTATCAATGTAAGTTAAATTACATTCCACAATGATAAAAATTTAATAAAATACTGAAAGGACTTTTTTGTTTTAAAACTTTGGTAAAATATAGCAGATATTATCAAATATATGTTGTGAATCAAAAAACCATATGTATATATACAAAAATATTTATTAATTTCTATTTAATCTAAATATTATTACCATAAAAAATAAATATTTTATATTTATGAATAAACTATCATTAAAACTTATACATGGATATACTAGACATACTATTATATCATTTCAAATATCATGGATACAAAATAGAAACAAGTTTATATACATTTGTGGATTAGCGAATATAAGTGAAAAAACAAATTGTAATTAAAATAAAACTTTAATCCTCTGATAATGGCTTTTAATTTATTATTTGTGTTAAAAAAACATTTGAGCATGCATTAAGATCTATCTCATCTAATTGTTCAAAAAAAAATTAAAAATAATATTATTTAAAGAATTTTTTTAAAATATGCATTTATACTTCTATAAAGAGAGAGAATTTTAGAATACGTTTTTTTGTTTCGTGGAGATTTTTTTTTAATTAATTATTAATATATTTTTTTAGGATAATTTTATAGTATTATTATTTTAAAATTATTATAGGAAAGAATTAATTCATATTGTTATAATTTATATTAAAAAAATTCTATGGTATCAAAAAATCAAAATAAATTCAATAACCAATGTTGTAGTAAGAGACTGTTGAAATAAAAGTCTAAATATAGGTTAGAGTTTTGATAAAGTTGGTTGTATGATAAAAAGTTTCAAAGAAATATTGAATGTTTTAAATTGCTCACAACGAGGTTCTTTGATATATATATATATACATAGCAAGCAAAGGATAAAATATCAAATTGGTGAGTTATAAGAATAGCCAAAGTAGTTAATAATTTATGATAGTTATGATAGTTAAATTAAGCTTACTAAATATTTTTGAGAACAAAATTTACAATCATATTTTAGAATGGTACATTTAACAGCACTTAGTAAAGCTAATTCTGCATAAAACAACGTCTAATTTATTCTGTTAGAAATATGCTGTACTATTATTCAGTTCATGATTAGGTTAATTGAAATAGTTGTAGTATTAAAATATTTTTAAAACATAGTGCAAAACATAACAATTTAAATACAATTCACTTGCTAAAGTTTCTGTTCTAGAACTTCAAGTAAAATCAAATTCATCCATTATCTGTAAGGATCAAATGCCATTCAGATAAAAACTCCCATAAGCAAATATCTTGACTTGTCATTATTATTATTATTATTGTTATATTGGTAATCATTAAAATAAACTAAAATAAAATTCTAGTAAATAACAACAAACTGAGGTATATTCAAATAACCTTTTGCTTATTCATTACTATGAATTAGCCTATTACTTTATCTTGATTCTTGTGTAAGATTTCACTTTCAAAAAAACTGCTCATAATCTGGGATTTAACTTTTTCTCCAAAATCAATGTATTATTCAACAATGTTGTAATGTTCAGTATTTTTATTATTATTATTTTCTTTGTTCATGTGCCCTATTTTGATGACATGTTAATCCCTTGTTTACATCTATTGGCTGCAAGACCATATCTCACAAAGCTTGAAATATATTTGAAAAAGTTGATAACCATAAGATAGCCAACCCATTGTTAACCACCTCCTATTTCTGATGTGAGCAATAAATAAAATTTATTGTACTTGGAATGGATATGCGTGAACTATCAATAGGAGGCAATTGTTGACTGGTTGGAGTGGAATAATAGTATAATTAGGTGCCACACATCATGGTTTCATAAAAGTTGGATTCTTAGTTTTGTAACCCACCACTGGTCATAATTAGGTAGGCCTATGTGTCCAAAATGGATCAAAGAGAATCTTTAGCTAAAACATTTATATAAATTCCAATTTCGGGCCAAATTGTGTCAAAACAATTGGAATCCACTTCATTTCTATTTCCCTACATGGGGATATTTTTCCATTTCTAAACCTACTCAATATATGCTAAAATGCTTAAGTTACTGGAAATGGATTGTCTACCATAAATAGAAAATGGACACAAAAATAAACATATAAAATTAATTGTCTTGAAATTGACTAGTATACTTTCATTTTGTATGTACATATATGTAATAACAAATGTAATAACCATGTAAATATCATTTGTTTCATATCACTCGAGATTACAAACATTTTCATTTTTGACATTACAATTACACAGTCTAAATATTCTCAATTATAGTTTATAATAAACAAAGTATAAATCTTCTATATCATTTCTTTCATGTATGGTTTATTTGTTTAACCAATTAGACAGTTATTGACAATTCATCTTTACCACAGACATACCCATTGTAACATAGAATCATTTCTTAATCCATATAAATGCTACGTAGAGACCAGCTTTATAAAAACCAAACCACAATTCTTCAGAATGAATTCGCACAAATGACTATCAAAAACACAAGTACTCAAATGAAGTGTAATCATTTTTACTTTTTTATGAAATGGAGCTTTGAATGTAATTTTCGAATACAATTTTCTATAAAAAAATTGATCATATAACATGTCCCAACTCAAAAATACAATCTGAATGCAGTACAGGTGGAGTTATAAAAATTTGGAAAGTGGGAAGAAACGTGAGTAATGAAGAGCTGGGCCATTCAATTGGGATGATGCACCCAATTCACGAAGAATGGAGCATCTTCACACGCCTCAGGACTCATTCACTCCCACATTTACATGCAAAACAGTGTCTGCAAGAGACACTGACGCCGTCGCGGAGTTGCACACACAGATATAGTTCATGGGAACACAATCGTGAAAACCAAAGCTGTCATGCTCAATCGTAGGAAACAGGCACAAGACAGACAACAGAGTTGAGGATGGTGATGGGAAGGAGGTGGAATTGGCAGAGCTTACGATACCCGTCAGTTATAAACACAAAACACAGGATTCATGGCGAAACAAAAACGAATCAGTGGTGGTCACCAGGATGATATGCACAACTGGCTTCATGAGGACAGCATCCACTCGTGTCTACGTTCCGCCTGGTTTTATAAGCCACAGGTAGCACCTTCGTCTTCCACTCTCTGTTGTGCCCGCCCACTAGTTTGCATGCATCCCCATGCTCCCGAAAATTGGGTGGATCCAGGTCTGGTGGCTGTCAGGAAGAAGGCAATGCACTGAAACGGAGCAGCCATGCGATTGCAATCCAGTAAAGATAGATACTACTACACCATTGCATCAAACATGTGGTTTGGCGTTGCGATGATGAGAAGATCTCTCCGGGATGGTGGTCAGCGATGAATCGCGAATGGGCGTCTGCAACCGCTTGAGGTCCAAGAACTCGTGGCGGAACGACTGGCTCGTGCGAGCCAACTTGTCAGGGATTAGCCTCTTCACCTTGGAGGCCCAGTGTCTGTCTGACTGGCTGCCTGAATTTGCAGCACTGCTGCTGGAGCTGTTGATGATCAGACGCTGCTGTGGGGAGTCGACTTGCGCATTCCCGGGGTTGCCCGCATTGGCCATGTGTCTAGTCTCAAGTGGAGATTCAAAAATAAAGGTTTGTGGACCAGAGGGAAAACTCTGGTCCGAATCTTCGTGATAGAATGACACGGCTCGATGATCGCCTTCTGCGTACTCGCCAACAGGGTATTTCAACTCTGAGGAAAAGGCGACTTCACCTTTGTCGTTCCGCTTCTTCTTCTTAGAGCGCTTTGCCAGCAACCGCATTTTCTTGTACCAAGTCGACGGCAAGGAGAACGATGGCTTTCCTGACTGTCGCTTCGGAGAGGTTCTCAGTCGTTGCACTGGCTGTGAAGAGGCAAAAGCAGCATCTCCAATTCCCTCACCCTTGTGTCCCTCCTCATTCGATAAAATAGAAGTAGTTTCCATATTAGAACCGCCAGACACAGGAGAGGGCCTAGAATCTACCTCCCCAGGTGCAGGGGCGAATGTGTCACGAGGCGCATTCCCGAAAAACTGGTTAATGGCTGGCGTGGTCGGCGTCTTCCCGCTTTGAATCGGTTCTAGTTGTCCAGAAACGTGGATGGGGACTATAGATGGAGCCATGTCCATCAATGGGGGCTCAACGTCTTCTAAGTTCATCTTCACCGGCCCTCGGTACTGATCTGGATTGAAATCCCTGAGATCTGTCGAAAAATCTGCACTACTTCCAGAGAAACATGACTGTTCACTCATGCCATCAGTCTGGAGACCCTCCAGGGAATTATTTCCACCGTTTTGCTTTCTCATCCTTCGAATCCAGCGATATCTTCGAGATTGCTTGAACTCTCCGCTTTTGTCAGTTTCAGATGCCTTTGAGGCGTCCCTTGCGGGAGTAAAAAGAAGAGGTGTCTGCAATCCAGGATGGAATATTGTGAAAGCACCACGAGGACCATACGGCATATCAATAAAGTCAATTTTGTCACCGTGGGGCTTCTGCTCTCCAAAGACTTCCGACAGCGCAGAATCTCCAGACGAGTTGCGACGACGGTGCCTACTCACTGGGACTTTCGAAGTCGCAATCCTTGGTAAGTTTGTGTCACTCTTCGACCTCGGCATTCCAGGTACCCTGGTTGGTGATATGTAATCAACAGCTGAGCTACTAGTTTTAAGGTCTTGTGAGACAGTCTGCATCACACGCAATAAACAGGATGATTGAGGTGAGTGCCGAAGTAGTACCCTTGCAAATGTTTCCAAGTAAAAAAAAAAAAAAAAAAAAAAAAAAAAAAAAAAACTCACCATGTAGAGTGTTGAGGGAGTACATTAAAAATGCTGAGGTTTGTGTAGGGAAATGGTACGACCCTTCTAAAATCATTAGGAAATGATGTTAAGCAGTTATTATTCAGCAGCTCTTTTTGCTTGTCCAGCAACCCAGTATTATGATGTGGATTGTTGATTTTGAAAGATAATTGCATACCTCACACATGGCATCACTTATACGTGGTTCCTCTGCCATTTGAGGAGGATGACTGTAAACCACACTGATAGCGAATTTTAAGTGGCCCTTCAAGACTTTCTCAAGACGTTTATTGAACACATGACGCTCCCCGTTTCGGTAGTCATTCACAGAGACAGAACAGATTCTGAATAGCAGAGCAACAAATGCACCAGTTAGGAGCCAGTAACCAGGATGGAAATCCTGAGACGACACTAAAGTCGAGATAACAGAAATGAACACTGATGTTTAGTAGAGACAGATGAGAGCACAACTATTCAGAGGTGTAGCATACCCAAGCTCGTGGGAACTAATAGTGGGCAATATGTCCCAGTCTCGAACTCGCAGAGTCAGCAGATTTGGCATATCCCAGCTTACAATAGGGAACTCATAACGTTCATTTTCCCACTTCGGGTTTAATGTCTTCTTCTTTTTTGAAGTTCTCTGATGGCGTTGCCCAAAATTTATGTCCACGAAAGGGTCAGAGAGTCCTGCAGGTTATCAAAAGAACAAAAAATTACAAACCTCCGAGTCCAGCAAAACGACATGCAAAGCGATTGTCTCGTTTAATCGCAACACGACAAAAATTGGCAGCAATGTTCGCTGGATAATTTCGTTCAACAAAGCTACAACTAACTCTCCAAGTTGAAGATAGAAATCTGGACTTTTAGAACCATTTACTCTTCCGACATGGTTCAAGACTTGCATATTCTTGAAGATAAAGTTGCAGATGCAAATCTCCCAAACAAGATCAGTGTCAGCTTGGAAGACAGGGGTAAGCAACTGGACTCCGGTACTCACCGTTACTGTCAGCAGCCTTCAAGTTCGAGGCCTCGAGGATTTCTACGACAAGAGTGGCCTCGTTCTCCACCTTGAAAAACCTCGACAAACCTGCCATCGGGAACTGATCGTCAGTTTCCTTTTCAAGCCAGGTTATACCAGCAAGCGAGGATTATCACATAATGTACCACTTTAGCACATATTATACAATTAATGACAAACAACCGAGAGCTCAAAACGTTGAATTATGCATTACCTTGTTGGGCTCTTGAATCAGAAAACATGTGGCTTACTAGTTTCTCAATGTCTACAATCAACAAGTTCGGCTGCACAGGTGCAATAGTGTTAGGGTGATTACATCATAGCATTGCCTTCACAACCCGCATGCAGTACTTAATAACCAACTGTCAAATCACTGCAAGTTCAGGACTATGTGAATTTTAAAGAGACCATGGCTTATTGATGACTTTTAGAATGAGGAGACTAAGTTAGAACCCATCTACGTCCGATGTAACGAGGCACCTAATACCAAAAAAAAAAAAAAAAAAAAAAAAAAAAAGAACAGAACAAAAGAAATCGGAATATAATTACCTCAACAACAGAGAGCTCCAATGCATTATCCACCATTTTTTCCTGATATGCCAAGTAAAAGTCAGTTTTTTCTATGCGGCTCTTCTTGGCTCATATCAAATTCCAATCAAGTGTGCAGCACTGGACTAACAATGTGATCGTCTAGAGACGCCAAGGAATGGAGTGCCAGCGGGAAGATAGTTATAAGACCAAGAACAAAAGATGGAAACGGGAGTAGATTACACGTACAGGAGACTTACCACCACATTAGCGATAACGGGAATAAGGCTCACATCTATTCCGTTCTTGTCCATCGGACGATATGACATTGATACTAGAGGTTTGCTGGTAAAACATAAGCGTAATCGCCCTACCACTGGCCAACTTTCTAGAAACTTCACCGATATTCTGACCTGCAAGCGAAGAAACGTGTTCAGTACTAAATCGCTTGTAAGGAATGAACGAACGCTGCGAGAAACAGTCTCTTGTTCCTGCCGTCATGTTCCTCAGAAACACCAGTAGTGTTCTCAACCAAGGATTTATTCAAGGTCTAAATGAAAAAGGAGATAGTTATTTATCTGATACAGGACAAGAGAGAGGGGGAGAGCGAGAGCGAGACGGATAGAGCGGAGGGGGGGAAGGTTGGATTTAAGAATAGTGTACATATCATCTCAGAATGTGTTATAATCGTTAAAAAAGAGCTGGAAAAGAAATCAGCACACACCGTGCCTTCGACATGCAGTCGCGAGATGTAGAAAGTAGTCCGAAGACCAAGGCTTTTCAGTAGTACAGACATCTTGCAGTTCATGTCATCGCCGGAATTGAAATCCATGTTTGACTCAAACACCTGAAAACATGCACACATCATCAGCAAATTGCCTCTCCGCCTACAGCACCAAGTCCAAGTTAAAAGAGAAATGAATGTAACTAGGAACTCCTTTGACCATTAACAGGAAACAAAGACAACTAAAATCATAGTTACACGGTCCTAGAAGCTCACCACATGATCACCACCTGTGGGACGCTCAAGCGTGCGAATGAGGTTGAATACTGGTGGTGTGCTACCAAGGTGCAGGGTTTCTATCTTCACATCACTCTGCCACCATACAGACACTTATGTGAACACTTGTCTTCAACCTTATAAAGCATAGGAAGGCAACCTCTATGTTATTTTAGCTTCACCGTCATTGCTACTTATACGTCCTCTTTTGTCATTGACATGAAAATACGACATAAACGAACTGTGCAGAGTGAGGCATTTCTACTAATGGCCAGAAATGAAGTTTCTATGAGGAAAAGTTTAGGAGTGGGTACGTACTACAGCCCTAGGCTTATAAGCTTTTAAAAACCAAGGCAGCATATGACTAAATAAATGCTTCGATGCAAACGTTTCCATGCACACTGGCCACATGCTCTTGATGGCTTGGTTGAGCCACCTTAGAGTTTCTCCCTCATCGAACGTCTGCAGGAACAAGAATTTGAAAAGTGTTGGATGAAATACACTAGTATGAACAACAAACATAACCCAATTTTCTCAACAAGCCAGATGGGGTAACGTATTGATTGTCTTGCTAATGCTGTATGTTGATCATTATCAGAGGGGATGAGCGTAATACCCGTTTTGTATTGATCTTTCTCCACTCCTCAGAAGCTATCCGACGTCGCTCTCTCTCTCGACCACGCCTATCTACCTGTCCCATAGGTAAGACAGGGCATATGAGAGTGGCAGATGCCGTGAGTGCAGGCACCCCAACGAGCAATTCAACGTCTCATTGGGAATGTATGTGTAGCCAAGAATCACTTTAAGATAGCTTCAGAATTGGTTTGAGACCAAAGCACGTACAGATTAAAGCAGGTTCGAGGTTCTAGGTACTGAAACTACATGTGCGTTGGCAACCACGGGAGGAGCCATTCCTATATCTTAAGGATGTGAAAGAAGTCTATGGAGCCCAATCAAAAGGATAACCATTTCAATTAATAGTAAATAAAATTTGCATTTGTCATTATACGCACCTCAAAGAGATAGGCGAGTATGAAGAGTATAAAGAAAAACCCGTTTAGGCTGAAGGGCAAGAACAGATAAGTGACGACCAGCGCCACAAGCACGTGAAGCATGAACGGAAACGGGTCCACATCCTCCATCAACCCTGATTCATTCGTCCCCACCATCGCCAGAGACGCCTCAACCCAAATCCCTCACTCAAAGCATTCCCACGTCAAGTATTTCATAAACACCAATCCCGCCACCCCAGCTACCCTACTTTGGTTTCGTTGAATCACAAACCTCATGAATGTTCTATGCTCATATTGCGGATTAATCTACAATAGATACAATAGAAAAATGACGCGGACGACAAATGGGTAAATCGTGGGTACGGTGTTCTGGAATCCAAAGAAGAAAATGGCGCTATCTTGTACATCTTCCACTCATACGAAAAGAAGGATTGTCAGGGAGGAGGGACACAGCCTATCACCCAACGACGGGGAGGAAACCCTCCGCAAACGGTACGAATTCCAAGTTTTCTCCCAAAGAATGAGAAAGGAGAGAAGAATTAATAGGACAACTACTGTTAGTCAAAACCAACATGGTTTGAGGATATCGATTGACTGCTCGTGCAGTGGGCCGTAACCAGGCCAACTTCATAGAGCTAAACAAAATTCCTTCTACCCAAAGATCCAAAGAAGGATCAGCCAAACATGTGACACAAGATCTCTAACCTTTCGAAAGTCGCACTGAATCAACCAAGTTTAGACGAAATACAGCGCTACCTAAGGTACTCAAAGGAAAAACCTTGTCATCGCTGGTGTTACAACAACTAGCCCAGGATGATGATCACCAAAAGTGTACGAGGAGAAGCAAAATACTACCAAAAGAATTGGAGGAATATATCCCGGAGAGGCAGAATTGTTAGGGGTTCCTGAAAACAGAAGGCAGAAAATACGCGAAACGATGGTGGAACAGAACCTGATAGCGAGAAAGGCCAAATAAGTCAACTTACGACCACAACGGAACCATTTCCCTACGAACACACATGACCGCCATAGCAACAGTCCTACAGCAGCATCCCTGTGGCCCTCAACTTGAAGCGTGCGCATTGGGACCCCACCAAGCAAGACCAAAATCTCACAGGGTGCAAAGCATATCGAACATGATCACAGGGTCAAATCGAACGGTCTTGGGAAGATCCGTTGTGCGACTTCGTCGTCGCTATGTCGGTACGATCCAATCAAGGGCGTGCCGTGCACCCCTCAACTTTCCAATATAAATATATGGTCTGCTCCTACTCCTAGCGAGCGACATTTTTCTGCTGCCAAGTAATAAGTTAAGAATTTCAGTCCCCTCAGCTGCATTTTGGCTCCCAGTAGATACGCCACTGCCCATGGCAGTACCCCATCTCCACCTCTGTTTTTACAGGGGCGCCGAACATTTGGGGTGGCGTGAAAGCGTGTTTCGCAGCGTTACGGTACAATTTCCTTCTGTTTTCGCTCATCTCTTCCCACTAGAAGCAGCAGCAGTAGCATCTGTGTATCTATCAATCTATCTGTTCATTTATTCATATCCATTTTCTCTATTTTATTTCCCTGTCATACTCTTGCTTACGCTTTCCCTTCATATGTGGTGGGTGGTCTAAGGAAGGAAAGGTTTGATGAAGCAGGAGCAGTGATTATTCCATTCTCAGAAAGGGCCCCCCATCTTGTTGAGTGTTTCTCTTCCCATTCAAAGCATTCGTTTCTGGTGCACCAATTTCATATCTTCAACTCATTTCTCATTGTATTGCAATTCTAGTTCCTTATAACAGTTTATGTAGCCAATCATTATGTATACCATTTGAAAACATTCTTGCTCTGGATGTTGCTTCGTTGTTTAAGTAGATTTTGTGTTTTAGAGTTTGTAATGGATACTTTGGTAAGTTCTAAAAAAGTTATCACCTTTGTGTATGTTTCCAAATGCATTAAAAGTTAATTTGTATGTTAAATGACTAATTGTGATATATATATATATATATATATATATATATATTTTATCTTTGACCTTATAATTTAGCTTGATCTCTTGATTTAATTTTGGTATGATTTTAGAAGTTATCAAAATCAATGTTAGTCCCTGCACAAAAAATAAAAATAAAAATAACAAAATACCAAGGTAACTCCAATTCATTGATTTAGAAGTTATTAAAATTAATATTTATAAGTAAAAGTAATTTATTTTTACTCTATCATTTTAATCAGTATCAAAAATTACACTGCTTACTATTTACGTACATCAAGTTGAATAATCTATTGCATTCAAAATAATGTTTTAAATGCTTCAACTATAGTCAATTGGTTTTGCCACAAAACATACATGCATATGTACATAATGTGAGACATAATTAACCACCAAATACAAGAGAAAGAAGTTTTAAGTAAAACTTTGAAAGATGTAAGACCTAATCCCTACATCCTACAATCTAAACCCTACATAATATTGGACAAAACAGATGAGTTTGTTGTCATCTATTTATATGACTCCTATATTTACATTGGACATCCAATAGTAATTTTCTATTTTAAAAAAGCATATTATCGATGCAGCTTCACTTTCTGATTACACAATTGTTTTATAAAAAATATTTCAAGCAATATTACTACATGAATTAAAGGCAGACTTTTAGATGAAGTTGATACAACTTCAATAACAGCAAGTATTTTAGATGGGAGACAAGGCAAAGAATCATACAAGAGGGAATTTATGTGACACAATTCCTACCTGTCTGCAAAGTAAAAAGCTTTGACACCTTAGTTTCACCACAATGAGTGAAAATAATCGTGTCTTCAAACTGTGGCCCAAGAGATGACAAAGACTGAACAATACTCTAGAAAATTATCTGAGCTCTTATTCTACCTTTCTCTTATGCATGGTATATTCTCCAACTATCCCCTTGTGGAAGTTTCTCCTGGCTCCCTAAATTCTTAAATTTATTTCTTCTAATTAATATTTTCTAATTTCAACATCCCCTAATGAGGGTTATTTTAAAAAAGTAAATGTTAATTAAAAATATTATGCCATTTGTATGAAAATTCAAACTAAATCACATTTATATGTGGTACTGTTTCCAATATACCTCCCCCAAATATTACAAAATAATCACTACTGCTGGTATTAGGTCTTAGGCCAACGTATATCAGCGTAGCCAGTGGCAGTGGGAGGTATCCTGGAAGCCGTCTGGACCACTGTCTCAACAAACAGATATTAATCACACATTCATCCAAGAATCAAATCCAAGAATCAAATCCAAGAATCAATTGGAGAAATACAATACGAACAGACATGCAAAGGAAAGTGTGGAGAGCATCAGCAATAGCATTCTGGACGGACGTGGTGGACGATCGTTGACGAGGGGTTTGGTCGTCCGCCCTTGTCTGCCCCGGCGGACTGTTGCGTCGCAGGAATGAAGAGATGCCATAATTTTGCAGTTGCTGGCTGTTTTCGGCTTCTCGCCTTTTCGTTTCGGTCTCCCATGCATGCACCCAGCTTCCCCTCTCTCTCAGATTGTTGCTGCACTCTTCCTGTCATGCTGCTTGCGGATGGATTTCATGTGGAGGAATAGCGAATGCCGAGAATAGCTGTCTGTTCCTTTCGACGATTTGGTTGCATTCCTGGAGAGCAAGGCGACGCAGGTGATGTGATTACTTCAATGACCGTGAATGTTCGTTTTGAGCTCTGGTGATAGGCGTGGAGGATGATGGGGATGTATGTTGTTGGAGGGTGCAGGGTTGGAGAACATTGTGAAAGATAAAGTGAGATTTACAGGAATGGAGTAATTAGGAGGACGGCACCGTGATGTGAAATGAATCTTGTGTGCAGATTTTGAGATAATTTGGGAGTATTTGCAGGATAGCACTTGAAATGCGAGGCTTGATCAAGGATCCAAACTAGGATAGCAGTGTTTTGTGAATGAGATTTATGGCGCGGCTTAAGGTTCCTCTGGTGGCAATTAATTGTAGAAGTGTAATGGAATCGAGAACAAGGCTGTGGCAGGACTTAGAGGCAGACGCAAAGGTTGTGCTTGTCATTATTGCATGGTGGGGAGTTGGAGAGAGATTTTGACCTAATTTATTAGTGAAGTATAGTCGGAACCCATGGCGGAGAATGAGACGAGGGTTTCGTCTACAGGCTCTGGGGTGAGAAAGTCGGCGAACGGGACACCAAAGAGATCTTTATCGACCAGAATATCAGGGGAGGCTACCTCGGAGTATGTTAGAGGTGGAATGCTCGCGTTGCCTCTAGGTCAACGCGAAGACAATCGCCAAAGTTTCAACGCAGCAAAAGCACGAGCCGATGCGGCAGCGATGTCAGGATTAACAAGCTCGCGGACTTCCACGCATCCGTCGTCCAGGAGGCAATCTGGCAGCTCACAGATCTCCTTTTCCTCCAAGTGGGGTTTGCTCTATTCCCCTCCTCGCTCCTGGCACTCGCTGCTCAGTGGTTGCTCTGCTTCTTTTAATTGTTGATTCAAATGCCATGTAACATTTTGTGTTACACTCCTAGTTTAGATCATAGTTTTGAAAAGATATTTGAAACGCTCGATTTTGTTACTAGAAATTTCTGCTTTTCGTACACTGCAGAATTTTGAATTAGACCTTGTCATTCGAGGTGCGCCCTCATAAGAAAAATTTGCACTTGTACCTGGAGCGAGACAGTCTTATCGTTTGTCAATGAGTACAAGTTTTGTTTTAATTTATTTATGCGCCAATTACCCGTGAGTTATTTATAGTACGTGAATTAGAGTCTTAACCTAGTCCTACCCAGTCCAATAATTTACACTGCTATGTACATGAATTGCAGAGTTGCTCGGTCTATCCAGAGAACATTTCCAATAACTTTATGGAGAGCTGAAACACACAGACTCAGATTGCCCACTCTGTTGCTTTAACTCTTGCAGAGGCAGCGGTCGGCCTGGCCAACGTGGGGCCAAGAAAAAGAAAAAAGCCCAAGATGATCCTATTCAGGTCAAATATATCTCAACTTTGACGAAACCTTTGCTACCGTTGGCACTTGAAAGAGTTGGGTGTCAAAGAACGAATATATGAGTAGGTGAGGTTTCGTTCGAAGTGAAAAGACGCACATGAAGGACTGAAGGGCAAAATTTTGAAGTTGGTTCGAAATCTACCTGCAACTTTCAAAACCCTTACTTGTGTAGCATTAATCATCAATGCCCTCCGACAGATGCCTGTTGCGGGGCTGCATCATGCCAACGAACAACTAGGGCTTGATGCATAAAGCAATAGGGAATTATTCCTATCACGCATGTTATCTAAAAAGGGATTCTCAAATGAACAAGCAGGTTTGAGTAAAGTCGAAAATTTGAAAGTGTCCACCTAGACAGACAATTCAAAGTTAATATGCTGACAATCAAGCGGAATTCAGGTTTTCAACGAAGACGGCAAGGATGTGACTCCAAAGCCCTTGTCATCAGTGAAGCCAACAGTGATAAATGAACGGTTTATGAGCTTAACTGTGCAAACAGCTGAGGACATTGAATTTCAGCATTCTGCTCCAGCCTACAGGTGATACTTAGTGCTAGCTGTGTCTTGCTTTGAAAGAGAGTTAGAGATCAGTCTTTAAGAGGGTAATGATCGTCATTCTTAATTGTCAGAAAATCAACCTTAGATGTCACTCATACTAGCTTAAACATACGTGGTAAGCTCAATGTTCCAATTTCATGGCGTGTATTGAATCCCTTGAAAATACATGTTCATTAGTTGTTGTTTATCGATATTGCTTTGACACTTTCATGAGCCATGACCCGTAAGCAGACTCTCGAATAGCATTAGATTTCAGAAGCAGATGTTTACATAACAGCCCATAATGCTTATCACCTTCTTTCGTGTTGATGTTTGTGCAGCCGAACGGGATACACGGTGACGAGCACAGCTGGGGAGCTTACTCCTGAGACCATTGAGTTGGGTACTGATCTTGAACTAGGAGAGTCCGATGGTCAAGAGTCTCGAAGGTCGAATCGCTTCCGAGGCTATGGGTTTGTCGAGACTCCTCGTTATTCAAAACGCAAATATGTCATTGTTCCGGCTCCAATTATTCACCCAACAGCACTAAAGGTATCTTATTGACAGAAAGATCGCCTGTTTCTTACATCGTATTTAGAGGTCGAAATACTAATAAATGCAGCTTGAATTACATCGTAGAAGTTGTTGTTTTAGCAACTGCTCTGTGGGTTTTAGCAGGAAAGTTATGACACAATTGAAACATCGACTTGAGGGGCTGATACAGTAGATATGTTTAGGAAGAATCTTCAGGTCGATGTTTAAGCCCAGCTACAGAAGGGAAGTCAATAGAAGTAATCAGAATAAAAGCTTCAAGGTTAGTTGCATAAACTACAGCAGTGATACTTTCAGAGCTGTACACAGAGGTTGAGGTACTCATAAACGGATGATGCAACAGATTGCCACAGTTTCGGTGTACACATGGTCATTAACGTTTTTGGCACGGTACAGTGACATTGTAGGATGGGTTAGGAAAATGCTAAATTTGACATGTATAGCTATAGCCAGATGTTCTCGGTATCTTCATCATTCACTTGGCGTTACTTGCATTCGACTTGTATGGCACAGGATTTGGAACGACCTGTCTCAATTATCATAACTGAGAGTGAAAATCAGATTATGATGAGTATGCGTGGGCATAATCTGAATTCAACGTACGACATTATCCACACAGTTCTGAACCGTAATGAAAAATACGCGCAGCTTCTCCAGGTATGAGAGATTTCCTAGTTGAAAATTCTGATCCTCAGTCAAGTTTGCAGTATCTTGACTTTAATTGGATGCTGACCACTACAGTATTAAGATGAAGGGGATTTCAACGAATTCCGACTTAATCTAAAGTACTAATTCTCGTTCTTAGACTAGACTATCTTTGTGGAGTTTCAGCAGTAGAGATTATTAGTACTGAAGACTCCATGCTTAATGAAATGAACGGTTGATTGGGGAAGTACGCAGACGAAACATGGGAGTGATAATTTTAACCAAAATACAACCCAGACCTTATTCAGTTTGCTGAAGAATAAGGAAGCTCAGGCCTCAGCTTTTTCTACTCGGTCTAACTCTGTTCAGGTGAGACACCAGATCAAAGGCGTCTTCTAAACTTCAACAATGTAAGTTTACTGTTATTTCCAGTTGGAGAGGAGTATAGGTTTTCCATGGAAAAAGTTGTGGCTTGTGTATTTTCCTGAAAGACCTTTGAGCTGCTTTGACAGATAATTTAGAACGATCCTGAAAGAACTTGCACACGGGAAGACCAGAAATTTCACTAGGCCTAATTACATTGCGTCATCAGAATTGCAGGTGAATTCTTGGGGTATTGCGGATTCAGTCGCAGGAAAAGTAAAAACAGATCAGCATCAGCCGTGGAAAGTTGTGCCACATGGATCCAAGGACACCAAGAACAAAAATCCCACGACTGCAGTAGTTATACTTCCAGAGCTATTCACAGACTTGGACGGTCCAAATGGGTCACCAATAACGAGCCCTCCGGTATTTCGTCTAGTGGGTGTCTCTGTAATCTATGCTGCCAATTAAGCATTTATGGTTTCTTTATAGAAGCAAGGAAGGTGTTTTAAAAAGCAGTTAGTACCTCTGTTACTGCTGCTGAATTTACTACCTAGCTCCTGCTATGGCATATATTTGATGTCTCAACGACATGGTTTAGTGATAGACCTTGTGGTAGTAGATGCAGTGATTCTTGATTTCCTTCAAATTTTCCCGTTCCGCACATAAAAAGTTATTTGCAAGTTTAATTTTAGTTGTAATGGTCGTTAGTTATGACTATATGAGTTCACTTGGGTTTTGCTTTCCATGTAAAAAAGCAGAAGTTAGTTTGCATTTGGCCAAGTCCTGCGACATGTAATAAACTTGCCATGAACAATGTTAAGCACTACTGTAGGATTCGAAACGACAATCCATGGCCTCCAGAAGGGGATCAACTCTTGGTGGTCAATCACGGCGACAGTCGGCCTCGAAAAGAACAAGTGTAGCGTCAAGGCGTGCTTCAACAAGCGGGGGAATGTCACAAGGGCAGGGGCTGGACGACGTCATAAGATTAATGAGTCCTGTATCTATTGTAACTGGTGCGGGCAGCGTGGGTGATAGCCAAGGCAGCGAGCCTGTCCAGTCCGAAGTTGACATCAGCAAGATTCCTGGACTCTTCAAGGCTTTAGAACATGTCGAAAGAGCTTGCGTATTGAATACATATCATGATAAGGTGAGCCGTGTGACTATGTTCATTATTTCCATAATTGCTTCCTACTTGCGTATCAATCTTATTTATACATCCCCATCTATCTCCAGTTCTTAACAATAAGACTAATACAATTTACTCTACGTGCTGGAGGACATACTAGTTATGTTAGAAATGATCTAACTTTTCGAATCTCTACGCTGATTTGCAATGCAGCTCTTGGGATATATGAACTTTAGGGCCAGAGAAGTTGAACCTCCTCCTGAACCTGACAAAGTCGAGAATCCCGTACTGAAGAAAAAAACCAAAAAGGTTAAACCAGAAGCGTCACTGTATCCATTGGCTGCACTGAAGGAGTTTGAGGAGAAGGAAGATGTTACGCTGAAAGTTATCTTGCCACAGTTAGAGGACTCGACAGCGACAGTGCACTCACTCTGGGAATTTCAATGTGACCTCACAGACGGCAGAAACATTAGTTGTATGACATGGAATAAGGTAAGATGAGCGTATCCATGAATCGTATATGTAGTGAGAATCTGGGGCACTTCTTGTCTTATACTTCTTTAAGTATTTATTTTCGTTAGTGTAAAGGATATGCAGTGAATTTTGTCATGGGGTATGTGTGCGATGGTCCAGGCAAACCTGAATTTGATTGCGGTTGGTTACGGTGAATTCGAGTTTGGAAAACAAAGGGATGGCATGATTGCATTCTGGTCCTTGAAAAATCCGCGTTATCCACATGCCACGATCCCCACACTTTCGGGTGTTACTTCCCTGGACTTTGCAACCTCCAGCCCTAGCCTACTTGCTGGTGCGTCGTCTTTCATTCTAGACGGATTTTTTCCATTTTCTTAACAGTACGATGTTAGAGCTACGTATTGAGCGTGATAAGTGGAGTCATGTCTCTTTCAATGCTCAATCCGCCCTTCAACAAACGGGTTTGCTTGGCATTAAGCGGGTTCATTTGAGGAATTTAGCAGTAGTTCTGCTGAATACTTACTGGACGAGATCCAAGGCATTCTTTGAGATGCAATCAAATTTATGGCTCTTTCTTTCCTAAAAAGTTTTATTTTTATTTTATTTTTATTTTATTTTATTTTATTTTTTTATTGTTATCTTTCAGCCTAATCTCTTGGGAATAGGTATTGAAGTTCTTTAAAGTGGTGATGCAGTTGGTTTCTACAACGGGAATGTGGCTATATACGATGTGCGAAATCCTAGGGATACGGAGCCAATGGTAAAGAGCTCCTTTGCAACAGGAAAGCACGCCGATCCTGTGTGGAAAGTACAATGGGTTGATCATACTGCTGAGCATGGAGAGGCTCTTGTTTCAATCTCCACCGACGGTCGTGTGTCTCAATGGTCCATTAAGAAGGTGATGCTTATTTTAAAACCTTCATATCCAGCGTTTTCAGCAATGAATGCAGAGGGTCATTGTCTCAGTTATTCAATCGCGAGGTGTAAAATCTAAGATACTGCAGGCAGTGTGTTAATTCAATGCGAATCATCACCTAGCTCATGCACTTACACTAGCCCACCATCACGTACTTGCTCAATGTATAGGTGAGCGCTTTTCTTTAAATAGGAAGGGCACAGTTGTGGTTGTAGAAGGACATGGTTTCTGTCTGCATCACCCAGTTTTGAAACACTGAGTAAACTCGTATTGAATGCCTCGTCATATTATTTTTTAGTGTATGCAGTTGATAGGTGGAATGTGCCGAAAACATTGTTCTAATATTGTAGATAGGTTGTTCTTCAAAGATTGGATTTGCCAATTGACTTCTGAGAAGTCAGGTTTGAAGCGGTTCATCCTAATGTCCAAAAGGTTGGTCGTGCCTCAGTCTCGTGGTCTGGTCGAGTGCTCCATGCGACCAGATTTTATCCTGGATCAGGATGCTGTTGGCATACGCGTTGAGCAAGTCATATAACCCTTGTAATTACTAGCATCGAACTTGGATTACCCGTATCCTTCCAATTTTTGAAACTTTAGGAATGTTCCAATGTGCGAATGAAAGGACTTGGAATTTGTGAATCTGATGAAACTGAAGAAAGTCCCCAGCCAAAACAAAGGCGCACAACCGCAGCCTTTTATATCACGACGTTCTGCAGGACTGTGTTTTGAATTCTCGAAAAAGGACGCCGGGTAAGATGATTCACGATACCCTATCATAAGGATGCAAATGTAAACTCTAAAAAAGTCGAACATGAATGTTGAAAGTATATACCAGTCATCACGCGAAATTTATCACAATCTGCTTCATGGCGAATTAATTACATATCGATTTGGTTGGGCAGCATTTATATTGTTGGAACAGAAGAAGGGCCCATTTATAAATGTGATCGATCTTACAGTGAGCAATATATGATGATCTACACCGGGCACAATGGTCCTGTTTATCAGGTCAGTAGTTTCGCTGTGGTTCTATTTTCTTTGAAATAGGAGTGTTGTTGCTGTTGGCAGGAATTATTCAATTTAAAATTTCTTAAGATTATTGTGTTGTAGTTATGATGAAATTTTGGGCTTTACTTATTTCGTGTACTAAAATTTGGAAAGCAGGTACGGTGGTCTCCGTTTATGCCGTCCTTGTTTCTGAGCTGCAGCGCCGATTGGACAACACGACTTTGGAGTGAAGACCAAGTCAGTGTTTCTGAGTCTTAGGTGTCTTGCTTGTAGCAATCTTATATAGTCAGAAAACCCCTTTTCTGGAGTTTGTGCGAGTAGCATCTTGCAGACCATACTTCAGTGTTGTACACAGTCAATGATGTCTGCAGTGCTAGCGTTGTTTTCAACAAAGCCTCTTTATTGTGATGCGAATCTTCGTACAACATATTGGGTCTTGAATTAAACATCCTTATTCCCACCACAACCTACTTAAGGAGCCCTAAAAGTAACGCGCATCTCAGGAAGGAGCTCTTCTCGTGTTCCAGACCACAAACGTGGGTATAGCCGATGTTAGGTGGTCATTCACACATGCTTGTGTTTTCGCAGTGGCTTCAACTGACGGCCACATGGAGGTACACTCAGGCTTGTATTACCTTCACTTTTAATTTTAAATTGGATCGTCGTTTCATGGTTTTTTTGTAAGGTATGTACTTTGACGGTAATTGAGATGGTCTTGGTTCACTCATGTACTGCCAGCTCAAAATTAAGAGACTCTTCAGTACTGTTTCTAATTGGGGTTGAGGTGTTATTCTTTTAGCATGCATACTAAAACAAAACATTTAATCTAGCTTATTGAGAGTAGATATTAAAATCGCTGTCTTATTTTGTCGTGTGTCCGTGTCAAGGATTGGTAACATGAGGAGGGTTGAACTGAGTCGGTAACATGAGTTGTTCGCAATCTGGAAGTATTACCAATTCCTGTTTATTTTTAGACGTGAAGTATTTGAAAATAATTATTATATATGTAATAATTATCAGTTCATACGACGAAAAATCTCTGTATTCACGCCAGCGTATAATAAAGTTGGATTCATCTTCTGAATCAAGATGGGGCTTGGATTCGTGAGTCCAGCATCTCTTCTGGACTTCTACACATGGCAACGTTAGAGCATAATCATTTCATAACTTCGAGGAACTACCCCGACATTACACAGCTCATTGAAAGTTGACAATGCCTTAGAAGCTTTTGCGTGTTGAAGGCGAGAGAATTTCTTACGGATGGAGATTTAAAAGTACTGTGCATGTTGAGTGCCTGTTCACCTTTATTGGGCTATCAGGAAGTTAAATGCATTTCTTACAATGTCAAATGTTGGTTGGCAGTTGTGGGATTTACATCTTTCAGTGATAAAACCAGTGGTGGCGCATTTGGTAGATGATATTGGAAGTGGGACGTTGTCGTGCATACTGTTCTCTGAAGAATCACCAGTGATTTTACATGGAGGGAGTAGAGGCTGGATCTCTGCTTTAAGATTTGTAAGCACTCGATTGCCACGTAATATCTTTTGTTGTTCTCAAATCACATGTAATCAAATAGGTTGATATTCGCGATAAATAAAAGGAAACGTGTAGTATATGAATGTAGCAGATTTGTCGAAACCTCCTAGCTTTCAATTGGACTTGCGGTGGATGTACAGGAAGGGCTATTGAGGGAAGAGAAAGATGAGAATGAATTGAAGAAACTAAAAGATACCCTAGCAGCTACCGTCACTACCCACGGTGGAGTATGAATCTGCTGACAGGATGTCATCTCAGGCATCTGGCCATGACTGCTCTGCACATAGTTGATACAAAGAGTTGGGCAGGAGAGGTTCTAAGGTGCAGCATATTCAAAGTCTTACTAGTCTTAAAATCGCGATGTTAGTGGAGCCTTAACCGTATGCTGGAAGCCCTTGCCTTTTTTAATAATCCTCTGTTGTCAACGTTTTAAAACGTCCAACTACAAGCACCCTGGACGAGGTTTATTCGCATCATCACGAGTTTAAAAAAGAAAAGAAAATATCATCTCAAGATGGTAGGAAGCAGGAGCTAAAATCTAAAACCGAAACGTTCAGTGACAGTGAGGGAGAGGCAAAACCAGTTTGAGAAAGTGTCACAGAAATACGAACTTGCAAAAGCGGAAGTTTAATATGCTATGATACGATCTTTCCATCAGAGCTGCCGCGTTTCACGCTTTGGACAAGGCTACCTCAAGACCACGAAGAGCATGAAAACCATCTCGATCTTTGACCAAATCTACAACCCGGTCAAAATTAGCCTCCCAATCCAGAGTGATGCAAAACAGTTCAGAATTTTAAAAGGATAAGGCAATGGACCTCCTAAACTCCACTGGCTGCCCTTGGAACAAAGTCCAGGAAAGGGACTAAATTGTAGCTTTTAAGTGTATGTTTTAAAAAAAGAGTTGTTGAAGGGAAGCCAAATGATAATGATCTCTGCACATCCAAACTTGATAAAGGCTTGGCTATCAAAGCTGGTAAATTGTTAACTAATGTCCCTAGCACTTGCACTTGGTGGGTGTTCTTACGCTCAGTGCTGCTGGATAGGTCCCTGGTCTCTGATAATATAAATACGTACTTATCTTAGTGTAATCTATATCAATTACAAATAATGAAGTATCTTTAAATAACTAATTAATATGAAGTGTCATTCTAATACGGAAACATTCAGATGCGAGTTTTATTTTTATTTTTTTGGTATAATTCCAATTAAGTTGTTAAAGTTATTTAATACATCAATGAGAATTCTAAAAAAATTTGAGTTATTTTTTGATAAACAGCTAAATCTCTTTAAAATGATATTGACATTAGAGATGATTCTTTGTAATAAGAATCTAATTTTAATAATTGCATGATTTGTACACAATTTGAATTTGTATTTCAAATGAGTTTTTTTTACTTTGATATACACATCTTTAAATTTTTCATTTAGGATACTAATCGTGCAGATCATATTTTAAAAAAAAAAATAGCAAATAATTCATGTTATAATTGATAAATGCTTAAATTAAGAAAAAAATGTTCAATTTAAATGTAAACATTTGAGAACAGTAAACATACTGTGTATAGATTAAAATAATAAAAACGCATCCTTTTAGTAAATTATATATATATATATATATATATATATACTTGTACATTATTGAATGAAATGCATGGGTGTAGTTTTGATTACATTTTTTTCAGATAAAACATGTTCCCATTTGGAATAACATAAATACCTTGAGTGATTTCGTTATATATATATATATATATATATATATATATATTTTAAAGTGGCTTAATCCGTAATATCATTTATGGATTTATGACATCCATAATTAATAAAGATTTCTTTTGAAAGCAGCCTTGAAAAAATCCTCACAAAATTTCTTTGCAAGCTATGCTTACAATATGTGGCTTAAATAGAAATGGTCTTTGCCTTTAATTGTTCTAGTATACAAACTTAAATTACATCAAAGTCTAACCTACAAATGTTTCCAAGTGAAGATAAAACGTATTTTTTTTCATAAAAAATAATAATCATTAAAAAAAAATTATACTGAAACTCATTAAAATAACATGTCAATAATTTAAGTTAATAATAAAATCTTAAAATTTTAAACGTAACCAATTATTTCAAGAAATCTTATAAAAAATATTCCAGGTTTTAGGGAAATTTAAAATTGGAAATTAGTTAACAAATTTTTTATAAAATTAACAGTAATTCTTACGAACAAGTTTAATACAGAAAGGCAACCAAACAAAACCAAGAAAACAAAAATAAAAATAAAAAGGGAAAGGAATTAAAGAGCACTATGAAGACCTGGGCATCCTATTCCTTATTGATTGTTCCTGAGACTGCATTCCATGCATTTCCACCACCTCAACCACCCCGCTCCACATTCAGTTCCGCATGTTGCTTTTCCAGCTTTGATCCCCATCATGCCGAAATGATACTAAAAAAGCTACAAAATCGAAGAAGAAGCAAAAGAAAAGAGCACACGTTTTCTGAGTACGGAAACAATGTGGAGTACGGGGAGGTTGAACATGGGAGGCGGTGGGAAGAAGAAAAGCAGCTTTGCCCATGCTTTTTGCACTAACTGAGTGTGCTTTTGGACATCAGGGAACTAAAGTCCAGTCTCGTGTGTTGTTATCGTTCACTATCAGCCGAATGCATCCTTTTTCCTCATCCGATCATCTTTGTGGATTTCAGGGATTCATCAATGCTTGGATCATACAAGCAACTCAGCTGGCCCATCAGACACCTGAAGGTGAATCACATGCCCCCATACCTGGACATGGGTATGTAGAGTTTTACTCCTTTTCAATGGATGCTTACTCTGGGTAACCCCAAAAGACGTAATGAGTATTTATGGTCGACCATGCACGATGTCTCTGTGGCTTTCTTCTCGTCTGCTACAGAAAATTTGAGCGAGCCAGTGGTAAGTGAGGTACAGATGACCAAATTCAGTAGGAGATGTTCTGTTAATTCAGCTTGAAGCAATTCCCAGTTTTAACCCCAGCGATTCCTACAGTAAAAACTAAGCACTGGGGCTTGGTAGTGGGCACGGATATGATTCTACCAGCTCAATCTGAACTGATCGAGTCAGGCCTGGCAACATCCGTCCCAACAACAGGTACAAATTTACGGAGGCCACTCATTTTAGCACTTCATGTGTGAATCAATCCGCTCGTGGATGACTACCATATTACTGATGAATCACGGAATGCATGTGCACGAAAGAGTCAGGACACATATTTAGACCTGAGAATCAAATTTCTTTTTATTTCCCAACTGCTCGCAGTTCAATGGGGATCACGAAAAACATGCATTGCTATTTGCTAAGATACGCCCGTTACAAGTACATTCTATGCCATCGTGGTTCTCTTCCATTTCTGACCATCGCTTCGTTTCTAGAACTAAATCGCCACCTTGGCGACAGTCGAGTTTTCGGAATCAATCAACCAGGAGCGAAAACTTCAACACCAAATTTCTGTTGAAATTGCAATCGTTGGAAGTGAACGTGTTCCCAGTTTCAACCTTTAATATTCTTTACTGTCCGTACTAAAGGCTCCACCAGGTGGAACACACTTCTACAACTGCTAGCGCCCACGATGCAAAAGATATCACAAATCATGCTTTTTTCAACTGATGTAAACTCCCGACAACCGAACAGAATTCACTACGATGAAAGCTTTGGGCTTTGGCATGCCTCAGTGAAGTTGCCATTGCCGATCGCGGCCGCGTCAGGACTATTACACAATGGTACTCCTGGGTATACCTTGGCCTGACCCAAGGTGAAGATAGTGTAGTTCTGGTACAGGGACAATGTCTTCTTCAAAGCCGCGGTGACGTTCTTCTGGGGCACTGCCAGATTGGACAGTCAGAATTCCGTCAACAACAGATTGTGACCACATCACTGGACTCAAACTCACTCACGGGAACTAAGTCCAATTGTTTGAAGATGAAATCGACATCGCGTACAAAAAAATGGATTTCTCACCTGGCTTTTTATCATTTATGTACTTCTTCGCCGTCGAGGCACCGCTCGACACGGTAGTGTTGAGAGCGGTCCATTGAGCGGCCGTCAAAGTAGGGACGGCACCAGCCACTGAGGCAGCCTGGAAACTATAAAGCGTGGTGTTGAACTCCTTGTATAGTCCTCCGTTCAGAGTGCTGAGCTCCACCTTGTAGGCCGTAAGGGAACGGGCCTCAATCGCACCTGGAGAGTAAATTCCTTGGGCGAACAAAGCAGCAGTTCCGAATCCTACAATGGCAAGAGTAGAAACCCATGACAAGAACTGCTTGCCGAACTGCTTCCAGTTAACACCCTCAGTTCCCTCCAACAGACCAACACCGACGATCGCTCCAGTCACACACTGGCTGGAGGATTGAGGCAGTCCATACTGGGCAGCAATCATAATAACCAAAGCAGTCGCCAACTCGGCAGCAAACCCACGAGTAGGCGTCAACTTAGCCAACTGCACGCCCATGGCTCTGGTGACATTGTAACCGTAGGTACCCAAACCGACCACGAGACCGCAAGCACCGATGAGAACGATCCAAACAGGTGGGGAGACGGATTTGGCCAAAGTGCCAGTTCGATACACATCCCAGATAGATGCAAGTGGTCCCGCCATGTAACCGACCTCTCCAGCTCCGTGGGCAAAGATCACACAGATGGCAGAGAAAACTTGCAGGTATGAAAAGGCATACTCCACGCGAGGCTCGAAGACTTCGGCTCTCTCATGGATAGCATTGATGACTGCGTCTGTCTTCACGACCTTGTGGATGTCAACGTTGAGGCCGTGAGTGGCGCCCGCCCATGCCCTCTGGTGCCATGCAGCCTTCACAGGAGCATTGGGTCCCAACTCCAGTGTGTCGATTGCCGCCATCTCTGCCTGTCCTCTTTCTTGGTTAGCCCCGGGAATACCCTTGTCATCGGCCGTGTTGTCGACTCTAGTTCCATCGACGTGGGCAATGGGTCGGCCATTCTCGTCAAAGAGCCTCTCGCAGTGACGTTTAAGGAGTGGGAGCACAACGACGGCAGTGAGGAGCGAGATGCCGACGGCAATGACCATGGAGATCCAGACAGCCTTCGTATCCGACCAGTCGCTGCCTGTGGAGAGTGCCTTCTTGGCTCCCTTGGTGAAAACGAAGTACATGTTGATGAACACAGTCACGAGAACCATTAGGGGCAAGACCCAGAAGGATAGGTTGTAGGCGTTCTTGCGGCGAAGAACCAAGAATCGAACAGTCCAAAAGATCAAGGCTGATGTGAGACCGGTGAGCACTGGGGCAACAAACCAGGCCAATATAATGGAAACGACACCTTTGTATGGGGGGAAAGACTTCTCATCCTTCTGGGCCCATACGACAGCATTCGCTCCATCCCAAACCAACGCGAATCCGATGATTGACCCAACTGAGGTTACCAACAACAACAACAATCAGAATCATCTAAGATAGTGTTCACAGGAGCGGCAGCATTTGCAGTAAATGTCTCCTGCAGAACTGGAATGCGAGAGTAGGAAATGTGCTCACTGATAGTGTGGGTGGCGGAGGTGTTCAACCCCATGTAGGATGAAAGAATCTGCCATATCGTTCCGACGGTCAACGCACAAACCATTCCATAGGCGTAAACCTCAGGATTGGCTGTGAATGCTGTGATATCGGCGATACCTCCAGCAATGGTGTTTGTGGAGACACGACCCAGAAGTAAGGCACCGGAAAATTCGAACACTCCGGCAATCTGGACCAACATAAAATTTTACAATTAGAAGGAAGTTTCAACACAGTCGCTAGGCCGAGCGTCAAGCGCTCAATCTGCACAGTTAATTTAGATGAGAATGCGTGGGCTGAACAACTAACTGAAGAAGGCTCAGAAAATTTACCAGTAGAGCCTGCTTCAGTGTCAACGTCTTGCTTCCCACGGAAGTTCCAAAGGCATTCGCCACATCGTTGGAACCTGCCAAATACAGATACCAACCTTGTCAGCAGCGAGCACTATACTAATACCAAGAAGGCGAGAGCGGAATCATCGCTGCAGTCCCAGATGTGCCATTCCTGTGACACTTTGCTTTCCATCTCACAATCTACATTTGTTCAGTGAATTGGCAACCTGTGGTCCTAGGCCACCGCTGTCATCGACATGGCCGTAGTTCTCCAAAACCCCCGCGCACCCGTCAACATCTATCGCACTTAGCCATATCCCCGAAGAATCCGAAAATCCGAGACTACTGCATAGCAGAATCGAAACTACTGTACCCCCGGATCTCAAAATTGCACTATGCTAGCAACATGCAAAGATAATGCTTGAATCCTTCACTTCTCCGGAACGAGGAGTCTAACATGCAACACTATGAGGCGATGAAACTGGTGTAACTTCCCGAATCAACGGCGTGTGCCATACCTGTTCCAAACCCGAAACCAAATGCCACAAAGGCCCCGACGACCACCAGCCACAAGTACTCGTCAAGTACAGCCATGATGAATCGGCGCGACAGTAACCTCCGGTGCTCAGACTATCACAGTCCCTTACAGTATCTGTCTGAGGTTCGAGTCTCAGGTCCCCGCTGCTCGCTGGAAAGCTTGAGCTGTGACATCAACTTTGACACAGAACCCTATATATGAAGGACTCACCACTAGGCGAAAACACTTTCCACACGGAGAATATGCTAAAGCATCAGAATCATACTTCCGCTCGATCGGCCCAACTCGACTAAACATAGGTCTGAACCCCGTCGGTTGAAATGATCGTTCGAATCGGCTTACGCTCCGGACGTACCACCTGCCAAGTATTCAGAGTTCTGTCCTTTGCCGCACCCTCAGTACCACGGTTAATGCGGAATTGACTACCACGGGCTAGGCTCCTTCCAACCTGATTCCTCGCAGGGACTTGCGGAAAGTACCGTAAGGAGGACCGAAAGATCTAGAGTCCAGAGAATCCCAAGGATGAGCCTAGATGCAAGACCCCAAGACCATGCCAAGAGCCAACATTCTCTGTGGGGAGAATATGACAATTGAGATGGCTCGCTGGCATCTTCAGGTGGGAAAAGTGAAATTCATGGTCGCCCGTTTTTGAATTCGACAGAGCGTGCTCGGCAAAAGAAAAAAGTTACCATTTTATGCGAGTATTTCTGTTGGGATAACCCTCACCAATATGGTGAAGCACCAATTGGATCCGACTTCTTTCCATGTTCCACTGGTTCTTCGCATTATGATCGGATTTTCGCACTGTTTCTATTTGGGCACATCGCATGGGTGTTGTTTTGATCCTGGTCTTTGAGGTCGAACACTGCCAACTAACCATCAGCATCGTGTTCATTCGACTGCTCCAAAAACTGAAGCCTCATGGTTGCCACCATTGGCTCAGAAAAACTGTACCTCCATATCACAACACAGAAGGAAACCAGGGGCTTGGCCAATACATTACAGGTATGCCGCCACACCAGAAGCAGTACGCACAAGTACACAACGGCGCGTTCACATCAGACTTTGATACGATCGACCAAAGTACCGAAACTTAACAGCGACATGCGACATGCTTTCGTAAGTGAAACTATGTCACATCTCACCTCGAAAACGTACGGGTAAATGCTTGGAGAGACACGTGGATGCCAGATCGCACTAGAACACGTACGGTGCTTACGTTTTTGTACTCAAAAATCTTTGCGAAAGTATATTCAAATCAAGATAAAAGGAGATTTCATTCGGATGTCCATTCCTTGCGCTCGGAGATTTTGGTGCCGGAGCTCCCCACACGCAGAAGGAAAATCTTCTCTCATTTGATTACTCCGCGTTTTGGTCTGCGAATCTTCTTTTTCTTTTTTGGGTGGGCTCCGAACCCAAGCCTAATATCATTGCTCGCTGGTCATGTGCAGCCGTAAACTTTCAATTGCTGTATTTTACACATTATGTATACCTTTGTCGGAACTATTTTAACAATGGTAGTAACCCCCCCCCCCCCTCCTCCCCACTTGCGACCGCCATCTATATTCCCTCAGCCTCCTGAAACTGAGTGTGGCAACCAATCGAAATGAATTATATTGACAATAACAGGGGGGGGGGGGTCCCAGAATAAAATTGATGATTACCTTTTTCGAGTCTAGGCAAGACGGAAGTGTGCAAGGATGCGATTCTAATAATAGAATGGAGTGAAGCTATGCTGTCATTCCATCCACTCTAATGTGTCGCAGGCAAACGAGCTGAGTGCGTGAGTGAGTGAGGGTGAATGAATGAAGCTCCCAAGGTGCAAGACTGGAGCTTACTTAGAACCGCCATGAATTTCCCTTGGAGGGGGGGGGGGGGGGGCAAGGAGGAACAACTCTTGATTATCGCGGTGCCGCCCCCCAAGCGCGGTTTAGAGCCAGCCAGTGGTGCTGTAAAGGCAAGTAGTCCAAAAGGCATCTGAGGTGGGGAAGCAGCAAAGGAGGCGTTCCCCTAGCAACCGGGACGTTGGAGCAACCCCTGGATTCCTTGCTCCGGTTCGGCATATTCAATCTACGACGAGATGGATATTCAGTTAGGACATCGGATATCCGCTGCACAATCCTCTACTCTACTGGCAATGTCTCTGACACGGAATCTTTCTCGACACCCCCGCATGGTCTGGGATCAGTTGATGGTTTTTCCACGCTCTTAGCCGCATTCTCGTCCTCCCCCGCTCCTCAATCCTCACCCTTCTTCCCTTTTTCTCTTTCACTTTCTCTTTCTCCCACTCTCCTTTCCTCGCATCCTCCCCTCTCAACTTACTTGCTCGTGTCGGTCACAATTTCCCCTTTTTTTTTGTTTTCCCCTTCTTTGATGTTGGAATTTCCACTTTGAAGAAATAAATATATACAATTTGAAAAAAATGATAAGACGAGAGGATCTGACGCATCCTAATCGAATCAGAAACCTTCATACCGATGTGAGCTCGTGTATCCCATCAGCGCCATTTTATTTTATTTCTCTCATACATATATGTAATGGGATTGATCAATGTGACTCACGACATGGAATCTGGTGTTCATACTGTTGTTTCTCCTTCTGGTTGATTCACGGTACTCATCTGTTTTCCGTTTCCTTTTTTTCTTTTTTTTGTTGTCTTTTTTATTTTAGGTGATTCAGCAAAACAAATACTTTAAAAGTTTCAAGTGTACGACACACAGATCCAAACAGTACTCGACTCTGGTGAGTTGCAAGGAGGTGCATACCCCATTCAAAGTTGAAAAGGAAGAAGATGCATGGGTAAAATTATACATATATCAACAAGAAAGTCTTGCAATGCACTTATTATTGTTTTGCTTGCGATGAAAACTCTTTGAAACTGCAACAAAAGTGAATCAGGAACTATTCACAAGCACCAATATCAGATATTTGGATTGAGCTGGGAAGGCATTCAACTGCCAGGTTGAGATTCATACAGGGCAGCATGAGATTCAGGAGCAGTTGGGTCCACCTGTAAGAAGCAGGAAACCCTGGGACAGAGGTGCCAGTGTGGCCAAAGCCAAAGTCCCTAAAGAAAATCAAAGCAAAGATAGATGAGGGGAGTGTTGTGCTGGTGCAACTGTCTGCTGCCCCATGATCCCCACAGAACAGGATGTTAGTCTTCCATAGAAAGCTCACTTTTAGACCTGAGAGTAGTGGTGGATGGGTCAAGAGGATGAGAAAGAGAGAGAGAGATTGCAGGGTGAAGCAAAGGATATCCCCCCAGATATCCATTCCTCTCCATTGTCCACTCCTCCACTTCATTGTCCTCCTCCTCCCCCAAAGCTCATCCCCCCTCCGGTTGCCTTGGCCCTTTTGGACTTTGGTTGGATCTTCCTCATACACTTGCATTTGCTTTGTGGGTTGCAGCCTGAAAGAATGGCACATGGTATTGGATACTAATTCTCCCAATTGTGTCCATGTGCTCCAAATTCATGCCAACTCATTTGGTCCTCTGGGATCCCTTGATCCTCTTTGGCATCTACACATTCATTCATCTTTCCTCCTCCTCCTCCTCCCTACTACTTTGGTTGGGGGGGGGGGGGGTGGACGTTCCGCAAAAAGAGGAGGCTACTTGGAACCCTCACTAGTCAACGAACACCATCTTAATGATTGTGTTTCTTGGAAATTGAAGTCACAGCGGACGCGCATGGATTGGGAGGCGCATGCAGGCGAACATTGTGATTTGGGAGACACCAGAATCGACGAGTTCGTGCAATTATTCGAGAAGTTTTAGAAAGCCCTAATTTTCTTGATGCTCGTTTAGATTCGTGTTTGCTTAATGTTATGTTTAATTGTGATTACTTAGTGTAGACTCAATTTTGGGATTGGAGATATTCCCACCATGGGGGATATCATCAGCTCCAAAACACACCTCCAAGTGTATCCTCGTGAACAGGGATGGATCTCGAATACTCTGGCCAACCGTTGCGGTACCGGCTAGCTGTTGGACTCATCCTCGAAGTCTAAAAATCTAATTACTCACTGAGATATCGACCTGGTTGCCATACAAGGACCAGAATAACTACTCGCTCCTCGAAATCTTCAACCTTATGATTAGTAAAATGATGGTGTTGGAACAGCAACACACTGTCGTACTCTTCATTTCACAATCCTATTCCAGCCACAACATGGTCTGGAATGGTGGGTTGAAATTCGTGACACCAAAACTGCTTACAAACAGTGACTCACTCTCTCCCCCTTGGAAGGCGATTGATCCGGATACGGCTTCACACATGGTCATCCCGCACGAGTGATTCCCAAACAAGTATAATCTCATGGAATGTTCAAGGACTCTCGAGTCTAAGAACGGGCCTAATCAAATGTAGGAGGCTGCGTACCCACTTGAAAACAATACAACCCTGGGCGGGAGTCGTCTTTATTCAGGAATACAAACTATCACCCCAAATATGCGACACCATGGAGACCTTTGGCATGCGAAGAGGAGGTCTCCATGGTGTCCTCAGGAACGCTGCAGTACTCAACCGAACCAGCAACCGCTACAGGAGAGGCAATGCCATCCTCCTAAATTCCACCATGAAATGTACCATAGTAAACTCAAGAATGTTGGTTGCTGGAAGAGCTCAATGGATAATTTGCACGATCAATAATTCCAACATTGGCTTTCTTAATATCTACGCCCCAAACAGAGGCCGGGATTGAGCCCTGTTCTGGGACACTACTAGTCAGAACCTCCCCGCTGCACACTCTTGGATTATATGAGGGGATTTTAACACAGTGGAATTGGGGGCAGACAGAAGTGGAAATTCTCCCAAAAAATTACAAGACGAACAAGCCGCATGGCTATTCAATGATTATGAATACCGGGGCTCCTTACCTTTCAGCTGGTCGAACAAGCAGGATGACGGATCCCATTGCCTGGCCTGGATTGACAGGTTTTATATGAGCAACTGGACAAATGACGGAGGTGGACAATTGCGCACCCTTATAGGTTTCGGCACACTGTCAGATCATTTGTCCAGTCAGTTAGTGATCCACAAACAATCTCGTAATGAAGCTGACAACCGACAGTTTTGTTTTAATACAACCTCTTTAGATGATATAATAATACTGGACCAACTTAAGACTCAGTAGGAACTTATCCCAAAGCCAACATCGGGAATCAAAGGGTGGACAATTTATACCGCAGCCACACTTGAGCGGCTGCGTGAGTTTTGCCAAAAAGGAGGAGCCCGGCGGCCCAGACAGAACAGTTGTAAGTCAGCCATAAGAGAGCCTCGCTGGCCGCCGCAGAACGTTTATTGCACATCCACCGCAACGACCCCCTCATCCAGGCTACACACAAAATCGCAACTCAAGAACTAACTGAGCGCAAA